CGCAGCCCCTGCCATACCTGCAGGGCCAGCCCCATGCTGTAGATGTTCCCGATCATGCCATTCTTCATCTCCTGCTCGTCAAGGAAGTCGTTGGTCACCTTCCGCAACGCATCCTGGAGCAGGTGCTTCATGTCGTGGTTGTTTGTCCGGTTGTGCATGCACGCCAGTGCCAGCACCGCCACGGCACGGGTGTCTGCGAGATCACGGCGTCACTGCCGAGCCCGCCGGGGCAGAGCGGCCGGGAGTGGGGCTTTGCAAGTGGAGGGGACACGGTGGGGCCGGAGGGGTCCCTTACCCACAGAAAGGTGGCTCTCAGGGCTCAGCAGCTCCTTGGCCAGGACCGTGGATGCTTTTTGGTAGCCGTCTACCTGCTCCAGACACAGGGCCAGGGCGTCCAGGCTCACGCTGTACAGGGTGGTCTTTGGGACGCCATTATTCTCTGCAAAGCAAAGTGTGGTGACCTGCCGGGGGGCCGGGGTGCAGGGAGGGAGACATCTCCCCCGGCACCCCGGCTCCTCCCTCCCATCCCAGCGTACCCAGGTTTTCCATCTCCTCAGCTGTTTTTTCCTGCAGGATGCGGAGCAGGTTGACGGTCTGGCCCAGGGCCTGGACGTGCCTGGGGTCCTGGCAGGAGGAGAGGAGGGCGAGCACGTACAGAGCCACCTCTCCTGAGGTCATGTCTGCGGGGACAAGAGAGCACATGGGGCGTGCGGGTGGCCGGGACCTGGCACCCCGGTCCCCAGCCAGGGTGGAGAGAGCCGGCAGTGCCAAATCTGCAGTACCGGCTCTGCTGGGACTTGGTGCCACTGCAGGGGTGCACACCCCGCCCCTCCCTACCCTTCTGGGCTCTGTTCACGGCATCCTCCTGTATCTGCTGGAGCAGTATCTTGTGGGCAGCACTGTTGGTGGCCCCGGGCCAAGTTCATGGCCAGCAGGACACTGGGATTTGGCTGCTCACTCACAGGGACAGAGTCCTCCAGGCGCTGCAGCATCTGAGCGACCAGTTTGGCTGGGGCAACTGGAAGGAGAGGGGCCAGGGAGGCCAGGCACCCCGCTGGCCCTGACGGCGGGAGGTCACTGGGGACCCCACGTCCCCTCCACGCAGCCCCTCGCAGGGCCACTGGTCCCTCTCCGGTGCCTCCGTGGGAGGGCTGACACTCACCGCAGCCCTGTGTGGCTGTGCCGCCTGCCAGGGCCAGCAGGAGCCCGATGCCAAAAGCCCCGCCGAGCATCCTCTCGTCCTCAGGGCAAGCAGATCCACTCAGGCCGGCAGAGTCCTGTAGGCACTCGTCTTTCCGGGTGTTCTCTCCGCTTTTAGCTGTTCTGGTGCCCTTCTCCGGTCATCTGCCCTTCCACAGCCACCCCGGCACTGCCAAGCACTGCCAGCTTATCTGTGTGCCCAAGGGTGTCAAACAGTAGGAGGGTCACGACTGCGGGGCCAGTGATTTTCCATTTGAGGTCACCAAAATCGCACTGAAACCAGTTGTACCGGTTGAATGCTTGTGAGCCTGTGGGGCTGGGCGGAATTCATCCTGGGGTGCTGAAGGAGCTGGTGGGTGTCACAGCAGGACCACCCCTCTGGACCCCCCCCCCCCCAATCACCACCCCCAGGCCCTGGAAGGTCCCCGCTGGCTGGAAGCTCGCCAGCCGTATCCTAATTTACAAAAAGGCCTTGTACTTTCCAGGAAACTACAGCCCTGTTAGTCTAACCTCAGTACCCGGAAAAATGATGGAGGAAGTCATCTTGAGAGCTATGAAAAAGTATTTAAAGGACAATGCCATCAGCAGGCATGGTCAGCACAGGTTAACGAAGGGGAAATCCCGTCTAAACTGATTTGACATCCTGCTACGATAAACTCACCCGCCTCGTAGATGACAGGAAGGTGGGGTGGATGTTGTTTTTCTGGATTTTACTAAGGCTTTTGATCCTGTCCCTCACAGCATCCTTCTGGACAAGGCGTCCAGCTGTGAGATGAGCAGGTACAGGGTGAAGAATGGGCTCACAGAGGTGCGGGGAATGGGGCTGCAGCTGGCTGGAGAGCACTCACTGCAGCTGAACACACCCTTAGCCAGTTTGGTGACGATACCAAACTGGGAGGTGCTGGTGACTCGCTCGGGGCACAAGAACCCTGCCGAGGAACCTGCCTGGGTGGGAGCTTTGGGCAATCGTCAATGGCAGGACATTTAGAATCATGGAATAG